GTCAGCTAATTTACTTAAATCAATAGAGGATCCTGAATGTAAAATCAGGGAAGATGATAAAATAGTTGTTATCAAAGATAAATATCCTAAAGCGCAATTTCACTATTTAATTTTACCGAAGGAGGATATTCTCAATATATGGCGTGTCAAAAAAGAGCATCAAGATTTGTTAACATATATGTATGATGTTGCATGCGATCTGATAAAAGACCAAACAGATCATGAATTCTTGTGAGTCTTAAAATAGAATAGTATTAATAGTACTAACAAATAGTAATTAATTCTATTACACATATAACAAAATAAGAATATATATGTATGCTGTCTCACGTATATAAGACATATATATATATATATATATATATATATATATATAGTATATAGAAAAAATCTAACATAGAATTATTTTTATATATTTGAGAATTATGAGACAATATTAATTCTTGAGCAGCATAGGTTATCATGCAATGCCAAGTATGCAGAGGCTGCACCTACATGTAATAAGCACGGATTTTAATAGTCCTTGCCTTAAAACTAAATATCATTGGAACTCCTTTACGACGCCATTCTTTTTACATTCGCAAGGTTTGTCTCATATGTTTATTTATATGATAATTTACATATAAAAGCATATTGAATTGTAGATGTATGCCGTCAGTTGCGCATAGACGGCAAAATCAAAAAGATTTCTCCGCAGTTGTGTACAGACTATCTGAACACAAAATTGAAGTGTCACAAATGCTCGGCGCAGCCGAAAAATATGCCATATTTAAAGAGACATTTGTTAACACACATTGGTAAATGCAAACCATGAAAAACGTATATGTAATTTAAAAACTTCTGTATAATAAAACAACGTATAAATTATCTTTAGAAAATAAGTTCTTTTTTTTGTGTATCTTTATGACTTATTTATAAGCTTACAACCTTGAAATAGTGTAATGCATAGCAAAAAAAGTGTATAATGTTATTGGATATATATCTAAAATACGACATTTTTACGTTGGATAGAAGATAATTATAATTATCTTCTATGCAACATTTATATAAATATAAATTATGTTTCTTATAATATGGTATATAATGTATCGCGCATTAAGGAAATTTTTTGGAATAGGACATGAAAGATTAATAAAGACATGTTTATGCGATAGTTCGGAAGATTTATTCGGAATAAATTTGATGTTATTCTTAATACATCTTGGCGCCTATAATATCAATTATATCCTAACTATTTACAAAGTCTTCTCGTAGGTTGCGCAAGTGTATATTGACAGTATTTGTGTGTTGTGTGCGTGTGTGTATGTGTTATGTGTAGAGTGTGTTACATTTAATCTGTATACATTTAGTAATACTGCAATCAATAGTTGAACGTTTCTGCTGCATCGAAACAGTAGGCATCTGAACATCCGCAAGACTTTGCTGTTATTACTTGCGTTGTTTCGCAGATCGTAAACGATATCGTAACGGTATAAGAATTTCGAATTAAGTATACGTCTCCTCTGAAAAACTTCTAGCCTAGTTAAATTAGTTATATCTCTTCTCTTAGTAAACGTAGCGCCTTGGTGTGTCCCCTTACGAAGTCACGTCCAAACCGATTATTTCGCTATGATATAGTATAGTGAGAGGGGAAGGTCCGAAACGTACGGACCGAAGGGCGGCAGGAATCTCAGGAACAGTGCCAGACAAACAAGAGAGACGTTCGACAATGTTCCTTTTTCGGAAAAATCGAGACGCGCCGTTGGATACCCCTCGAAGAAGATGCGCGCGCGCGCGCGTTCCCATCTGAAAGTTTGCAACGCCTACACAAAATACAGGACCTGCAAAGTTTCCCCGCGATGAAAACGACGCGCGCGATCCGTTCTCCCTATCTCGTATACAGAAAAGAAGAAAGACTTCAACGAGATACGAGATTGGCGTTCGGACATTGTATAGTACATACTGTTTCTCTCTCTCTCTCTCTCTCTCTCTCTCTCTCTCTCTCTC